AGGCCCTGCAGCTTAGTAAATGCTAATTAATCTCTCAGACTGCTAGGAAATCGTTATCCTGGTTCAGCAGTGAGACACAAAGACTGAAGAGAGTGGCAGGGGCTTGTCCGGAGTAATAGAGTCAGAGCAGACACAGCTGCAATCTTTGGTGTTCTGAACAGTAAACCTCCCAGCTGTGGCAAGACTGCATCTGAAGAGCAGAATGGAGGCACTTGGGGCTTTTCCCTCAATCCCTGTCTCCAATAGCTCAGCTCAGGCCAGGCTGCAGCTCTCATCCCAGCTGACTGCTCAGATCTCCTTTCCTTGAGAGATAAGAGCAATGGAGAGGAGGTACCTGCTAGCTCTGGCTGCAGCAGCGAGCTGGAAACCAGCCTGACTATGCATTTCACTTCTGGGGAATCACTCAGACACCATGTTTTGGTTATAGTCTGGGTGTTTCTTGTCCACAAAGTCATTGCAGCTTTTTATCTTGCATTTTCCTGTGATAGTTTGTTTCAACACTTGCAGCCAAGTAATGACTAGACAGGGCAAGTTCCTATTATTTCTTTGCTAATGGGAAACCAGGGGTCACTAAGGTATCTCTAGGTGAGATGAAGGCTAAGAAGATGATGTCCAGGATCAGAAAGAGAGCATGGAGGGGTTACTGACAAGAGCAGAGGAAAGAGAATCTCCTCCAAATGTATTCAAAGACCTGTAGCAGTAGCTTTTGAGTACTGACCACATAAATCAGAAGATGGGAAAATCCCTAAATCATGTGGATGGGATTTGTTTTAGAATTAAGTCTCTGCCTTTCTGAATAAAACCTGGAAAAGATTGTGTGAGCTTCAAGTATATTTTTAGCTTTATATACAGAGGCTGCATATTTATAAGGCAGCTAAAATTTGATTCAGAATGTTTTAATATTTTGCTTCTCACAGAGCACACCTTGATGGACATTAGTTATTCCTATTTTCTGTGGCCATAATAACCCCAAGTTCTGCTGCTTTGAGGATGTACTTCCCTTACTTAGTTTCAGATTTGGTGTCAATTTGGAAATCTTTGGACTCCAACACAGTTACAGCCATCATTTTCTTAGAGAGATTAAGGAGCAATGAAACTAATGTACAGAGCAACCTTTCCAAAAACCCATCTAGTTACATGATTCTTTGCATATCTATTCCCATCACTACTCATGTAAAAGGAGAAAAAGGACTCTCCTATCAGCCTGTTCCTGCTGTCTGATTAACTGGCAGCTATCACAGCTCTTCTTTTTCTCTGTTATATTTTCATTTCCAGAGGAAAAAGCCCTGATGGATATTGAGCCTCTGGATTGTGGCACCACTGCAAATTAAATGAGGTTTCTGTTTATACCAAAGGGCCGGCGCTACCTCCTTAATCAGGCTGTCTGTTCTTTGGAAATCAGCAGATATTTTGCCTAAAAGCACCCAGCAGTGCAGTGTAACTCAGTAATAACTGTTTATTGGGGCTCAGGAGGGAAACCCCAGAAGAAAAACTCTAGGTGCAGTTATAAGGACTGGTGAGTGGTTGACTTCAGGGGGTTTCTTTTGCCTTCTGTTTTAAGATTCCCTGAACTTGATGAAGGCTCTTTCATTTAAAAGACAGAAAGACCTACAAATTAAGCAACATCTAGCTCCTAATGTGTGAAACTGCAATTTGCATACATCATGGCAGCTGCTGAGTTAGTCCTTATTACCTCTGCTGGAGTGTTAATTTAACCACAACTTTCTCATTTATTTAAATGGAAAAGCAGCGGGTTGCTGGCATGCCACATTATCTATCAGGCAACCTGGGAATCAGTTGACAGAGCCAGAAAGAGATTTCAATTCAGAGGGGCTGCAGGGTGCTGCCTCCCGGACCTGTGGTCACAGACCAGCTCCAGATTGCCCTTGGCCTGCTCTAAAGGTCAACAACAACAAGGAAAAAACCCCAGATCAGTATTGTATCTGGACTGTCAGAAGAGAATAGATAATACAATTAAGTTTGAAATCTCTGTATTTCTGATTTTTTTGTCCCTATGTACCCACACTGGCACTGTTTATACAGATTTGATAGCCAAAACACCATTACTGCTTCTGACAACAAATGGTTTGTAGAGCAGCCACTGTAATGTGGTCCAGACCCACCCAGAGAGCTGGAGACACTGGGGCTCTCTGCCCAGCCAGGAGATGCCAACGCTGCCCACACAGGACGTGCTGGGAGCCGGGAGCAGCTGTGGCATGAGCGGCGCCGCTGCCGTCACCCGGAGCTCTGGCTGAGCCTGGAGGCACCTCCACACTCAGCTGATGCCTCATGGGGGAATGAACACACCAGAACTACTCATGTGGGAGGTAAACATGAGATACCAGTTGCCAAAGCAGAGGCTGCCTTCACTCTACAGGAAAAGAGGCTGAGGAGCCCCGAGAAACGGCTGGGAGATGAGAAGAGCAGTGGCCATCCTGGGGAGTCACCCATGGGCATGGGGTCACCAAGCATGAGGGTCTCCTCTCCCAAGCCATGATGATGTGCCACCATTTAATGACACAGCTGTATTTTTCAGAGGAGAATGAGGTTTTGCTCTGAGCCATGGCAAGAGTGACAGAGATGGGCTCAGCTGAAAACCTTGGCTGCAATGTTTCAGTGGCAGAAAAGAAAAACCATGTCCTGATGCCCACCAGAGTTTAACTGAGCTGATGTAGGTCTCCTCTGAAGCTCAGCTAGAACTGACAGTGACTCATGGTCCTGCTCATGGCAAACCAGAGCAAAGCTTCACCCGTGGACACTTTGTGTGCACCCACCCACCAGAACAGGTGTCCTGCGTTCGGGTGAAGTGTGAATGTTCTGTAGCTGTTCTCAAAGTCTGCACTGTGATTAACACACACTTGGAAACTGGTCAGACTTCCTCATAAAAAAAGGGCTATTTTCCCAATAAGTGAATCATTGAGAGTTGAGATTTAGAAAGGAATGTCTTTGCTCATGCAGCACCAGCATGCACTGTATGACTGCTGTCATGCAGAGGCTGTTCTAAAACATTAAATTCAACACATATTTCCTAAACACTGATATATTTGCATTAAACGTGCCTTTTCTGTCTCTTTTCTGTCTCTATCAGTGTCTCAGATGCCTACTCCTTCTTGTTGTTTTAAAATACACTGAGCTGAAAGATCACACATTTGTTGAATTATCACAGATACTCTTCCCTTTGGTATTAGCTTAACAAAGTTCAGGAAAAACTTGTCTTCGCCCACATCTCAGCCATTCATTTTTATAATAAAAATCACCATGACAACAGATAATGATATCAGAATGAAAGGATTATGACTTAATTACATGAAGAACGTGAAAATAGGCTTGATTTATGGCAGAAAAAGCTTTTAATTCCAGCAAAAATATGGGGGGCACACACTCCATTTGTGACATCATGAAGTGCTGCTGAGAGCTGCCCAGGGGTTGCCCCACTGCATGATGGGGTGTCCCAGTTAATTCAGTGAAGTGCAAGAGAAATACTTGTAATTTCATGAGCAATAAAGAGAAATTTGCCTTAAAAGTGTTAGTGTTTTTGTGAAACAGGCTCATTATGGAAATTAGCAGAAGAAATGTACCCATAAAGGAAATATAATTATTATTATGCTAGTGCACTGGTTTCATATAAATAAAATTAACTACATAAATGCTCCATTGATAACCAGCACCAAGCTATAAATTGTTCCAAGTTAGAGGAGAACAGGGAAATTTACAGGATATGGTCCATTTTTATCACAGCTGTGGCATTTCATCAACACACTGTTCTATCTTGGTTTCCGTGAGACCTGTGGTATCAGATTGGGTATTTTTATTTCTAAGATAAATCTGAACTTTTAATAAGAACAATCTGGGAGTTTAGACAACATATATCTTTGTAATCTGGTCTATTGAATTCTCTGATGAGAATAAACTTTAATCCCTGGGATTTTTTTCCTAGTTTTGTTCACAAATGCTGTGAAATATGCTTTTAAAATAATGTACTTTAATTTTCCCCCTAAACCAAACAAACTGCTATTAGCAGTTGAACTTTTCTGCATGCTTCCTCTATGGCTTTTAGAAAAACTGAGTAATAAAATCATCAGACTAAAAATCTAGATAAGGAAATACATTTCATTTTCAATTTTCTCAGAAGCTATTACAATCAATCAACCAATTAGCATGGTGAATAAATAAATTAATGCCATTTAAAAAAGAACATTCTGAAAACCCCTTAATGTCTTTCTCAACTAAAAGTATTGGCTCAACATTAATCAATTTTATAACCCTAAATTCTGCTTAATCTTTTTTCCATCTTTGCTTAAACATACGGAAATAAAAATAGTGTATTATGGCCCTCCCTTTTCCTCTTTAATTTTCAGAGTACAAGATGTATATCAGAGGAGCCTCACTATTCTAGACCAATTTAGTGGATCTGTTCCTGAGCTACACCAGCACAAACAAAAAGATAGCCATCAAATATACAGCTAACACTTCAATTTGGTCAGCAATCTTTTTGTGTACAGCTCCAGCTCTTGGGGGTCTCAAAGAAGGGCAGGAGGATCAGTTTGGGAAAATTTCTATCAGCTATGGAGACAGTGGCCTTGGTTTTGGAACTTACTTGGATAGGGCCAGCAAGCAACAGCATCTGCCGTGGTTGGGTAGCCACAGCTCAGAGGTAGGTGAGTGTTCCTGGGCTGGAACTGCTCCAGCCACCCAGGAACAGCTTCCACACTGAGATATGCCTTGTTCTGTGTGTGTTCTGTGGGGGACATAACTCCTAAAAGTGCCCTCCAACACCAACTGTGGCTGCAGCAGCCCAGAGAAGAGCCTGGTGCTCCCTTAGCACAGGCAGCACATGGACAGGGCAAGGAGAACAGCTCCAGTGCATGTTGGCTGTGTCCTAATGTGCCCCTGTGCCTGACATTAGAGCAGCTCCTCATCCCAGCTGGGAGCACAGTGCAGGGCTATTTATATTCCTGGCACCTCAGTGTCACCAGAGCTCTGTGCTGCTGTGTGGGAGCTCTGCTTCCCTCTCCCAGGCCCTCTCCCAGGCCCTCGCCGCTCCCAGCGTCGGAAAGGTACATGCAAATCCCATCCCCACTTGGAACAGGAAAGGGGAGGGTGTTGGGTGTTGGGACAGATGAGCAATGTGGGATCACCAGGGCCAAGCTTGGTTTGGGTTGCTGGGTGCATGGGAAACTTGTGGGCAGGGATACCTGAATGTTTATCTTGGGGAACCCTTAAAGGAGGAGCAGGAGCTCCTTACAGTGGAGCACAAGCACAGGACCAGCAGCAACTGGGGGAGGAGGCTGTAGGGACCCACTGTTGGTGCCAAAACTGAGCCCTCTCAGTTCCTTACAGTGCCTGCTGTCCACTTCATAAAGGAATTGTAAGAGATTCATTACAAAGTTAGGATAGGAAGCACTGATCAGCATCAAACTTGGGGTCTGTTTGCAGCTGTATGTGGTTTGTCAGCAGTGTGGAAACAGGATCAGCCAGTGGATGAAGAAATTTCAGTGCCTGAGGTCTGTGCACAGTGGGGAGATTTCATTACTCCACAAACCTGCAAACATCTGGACTTAATTCCAGATAGGAAGCTCAGAGAAGCTCTTGCCTCTTCCATCAGAGTATCTATACATGACTGGGACTGATCCCTGCCAAAGGGATGAACGTTTTCAATATGAGGGTTCAGTAGGGATTGCAGATTTAGGAGATATTGAATGTGTGTATCAGTGCAGGGGGCATTTTGGAGGTGGTGTTGTGTGCTGCTGCCATGGGTTGCTCTGAATTTTCCTTTCTGTGAATATGGACATACCCACATATTTGCTTGGTAGCAACTGAAATTGGAACTGGAGAAATTCAGTGGTAAGTTTGGATTTCAACAGTAATGAATGGAATCCTGACATCAACTTACAAGGGTTTACAATTGACACTTTATTCTAATCTCACTGCTGAATGACAGGGTTAGTAAAGTTTTTACACACTAGCATTTGCTCACCAGAGGGATGCATGCTCCAGAGTGATGTAAATATTAGCAATTAGAGTTGGCAATCTTTTGTAAAAATGCAAAGAGAGCTTAGTTTGCACAGTTACCAAGATATGTTTCTTTTAATTGTGATACAGTCCTGTTTACATTATATGATATAGTTGCTCTGGAAAGTGAGCCTTTCCTTTACTGGCCAGCATATTTGGAGAAATGCAAAAAGAGAAACCCCTAAGGCCTTTGTCAGACTGCTTAAAGAGCTGCTGAAATGCATTTTAGAAATACATTTTCCTTCTGCTGGCATCTGTCATTGTAAAAAAACTTGTGCATCCTCCTTCTCTGAATGAGCACGTTGCCATTTCTGTTAGTTTTTATATGCAAGAAAAGTGATCTGCATATGTGAATTGCAAAAGAAATGGGCTTGGTATGTATATCTTTAGCTTCTATTCTTCTCATACAATTAATGCACATAATTGGCTCAGATTGGGGTTTTTGTTCATAGGCATTTGTTTGTTAACAGAGCCACATTTTTCTACCTAAATTGTGGGATTCTTTCCACTGACTTCACTGAGCTTTGAACCGGATTAAGTCAGGTGAAGGCACATTCGAAAAGATGGCCCATATGATCTTTCATTTCCAGCTGCTTTGATTTTTTTTTCCATTTTTTCATGAATCTATAACAGTTTAAAGAAAAAAAAAAATATGCCTGTTATTTGTTGAGATAGGATCAATGTTAATCCAATCCCACATCTAGGCCTCTGTCTTGGCAGTAAACGGAGCTCAAACTGTCAAATCTTCCCAGAATCATAAACTACCCAAAGGCTTTGAAAACTGATCAAAGCATCTGCAGGTCTCCAATGGTCAATCATGCTCCCAAACACAGTTTTTGAAGCTTTGCAGACTGCTTAAAAAATCTCCCTGGTAGGTACCAAGTTTCTCCTAGCTCAGAGAACCTTACGGAGTCCCATTTTATTTTTATTTTAAATGAAGAGCAATGCAATGAGAAGGAAAATGGAGCTTCTGCAGAAAGGCCAGGCTGTGTCTGTTGCAGTCTGAGTGGAGATGACTGCAGGCTGAGCTGGAGTGGGATGCTTGGAGCAGCAGGGATGCAGGGGTGCACACAGGGGAACACAATACAGCCACAGCTGCCTACATCTACAGAAGCAGCTTGTAGGTGAGCAGCCTGTCTCCCTGCACTGAGAGCCTCCTTTTGCACTACTTGCAGACTGTAACAAGCTAAGAAAGCTCCCATGAGCCTGCCTAGCAGCACATCCCAGCAAGAACTGGTTTCTGCTTGGATATAGTGAGAGCTCGGAGTGCCTTGACTCAGGCTTGTCGGTAACAGAAACAAGGAGACACAGGTATGGAGGGAGAAAAATAGTTAAAATCTCTCTCAGAAGGATTGTTAGACTTTATCTTCTATGGGCCAATGATGTCATCTGATTTGTAGTGTTAGTAGTTTCAAAACTTCAAAATTTCTCTTTCCCTGCCATAAATCAATTCAGATTAAATAAATAAATCAGTTCAGATCACCTGAACTGTACCTGCCATGGGGCTGATCCTGGGAGAATGAGAGGGCTGAGCAAGGAGGGTTCTTTCTGTGAGTTTCATAGAAGGTGATCCCATCATCTGGCAAATCTTTCAGAATTCCCTATGCTATTTAAAGCTGAAGTTTTAGAGGTGATGCAGACACTTTAGTTCCTACATTGCACAGTGAGCTGAAGCAGGAGCTGGGCTTTTAACTTAATTAGACGCCTTTGAAAGCCTCAAAATCCTAATTTTCTAAGTAATTGGCAATGGACTGAATATGGAAAACTTCCAGAAGGGTACCCTGGCTGCTGGTAGCTCCAGTGATACTCGAAACATATCCACACATTGAATGTATAATTGTTACAGAGTACCATCTTTTAGTCACACTTAACTGTGTGCCCATATGAACATAAATTTCCTAAAAATAATTGGTTGTTCTGCCACAAGTCTGTATATTTTATCTGGACAGAATGGATGGAATTAATTCAAGAAATTATATCTGAGTCAAAGAAAGTAAGGATTCCCTGAAACTGTGAGTGACCTTTTCAGCAGAGATCTCCAGTCACAGAGTAGAGATGCTTCTCAGTCTGACCATCAATAACTATAATCTGAATCTGCTTTTTCAACCAGTTGGGCACCTAACTGATGTTGGTTTAGTCTGTGGATTTCATCACAATTTGTCACATATGACCATATCAGTAGTCTTAAGACGAAGTATCTAATATATCCCCTATTATCCCTGAAAAAAATGAAGAAAATTAGATTGGATTGACACAACTTGTTCCTGATAAATAGGTGCCATAACTGCTTTTATCACCTTGTTACCCTCTAAATCCTTATAATTCAATCACATAATAATTTCTTCTGGTGCCTTTCCAGGTGTCAGAATTAAGAGAATTATTCCTATTATCCTATAGACATAGGAACATCTATAATTCATTGGAAGCTTCCTTTATATGTCTTATTTTACCTTTTCCTTGTATCAAGATTAGCATTATTATTTTCACTTTTTGAGCACTGTGGGATCTTTTGCACAGTTTAAAATCTTGATCTTAAATGCCAGCACAGCCTTCATAATTGAACTCTGAGATTATAGCGTGATTATCATCTAGGCGCTGATTTCTGCCTCACTGTGGCTGTCAGCCAAATGTCATAATGCATACAATTAACAGATTTCCTTCTCAGCTTACTGATAACAAAGGAAGCACAAATAATTTAGAGGCAGAGGCACTGGTTCTTTGATGTGATTGAACTCTGATCCTTTCAGCACCTGAAGGGAGGCCGCCTGAAGGTAGGGCAGCCTCATTAAGGCAAAGAAAAGGAGAAAGAAAAGCAGGGGGGGAGAGGAGGATGCAGGAGGTGCCCCCCACGCTGGGTGCTGTGACCTCTGCTGAGCCAGGTCCTGCAGCTCCCACCCTCCCACCACGACATGGAAACAGGAGATTCCTCGGGAAAAGACAAAAAAAATCTATGTCCCAGACAAAAAATACAGACAAAATAATGTCTCTAATTACAGGGTAGCTTTTTTTTTACCCCAAAGGTTGGGAGAAATTCCTGATGAGCTACTTCCATCTGGTTTACAGTCCCTTTGCACTGGGGCAGTTCAAAGAGCCTACAGTGTAACTGAGAATTGAGGACAGCATTTATTTATAGTTTGATAGCCTCATAAAAGCTGGAGAGCTGAGCTCACAGCAGTGTGCTTATTTATGTTTTAAACTGCTCATGCAGCATGCTACTGCCTCGCAAAGTGTATGCTGGAGCTCCTGCATACCATTATATATGGCTCTTCATAAGGTTCATGGCACAAAGGCAAAAAAAAAAAAGGTGGAATTAGACTAACTAAATGGTTGATATAATAATTGAAGTAGCAGAGAGTACTGGAGAAAAATTAATAGCCCAGCTCTCAAATAAAGTAACATCCAATGGAGATTTGCACCTGAATCCATTTTTCACAGTAGAAGAAAAAATCATTCCAAAATTCTGAGTAAGGCATAAACTTTCAGCTCCTGGTGACATTATAAAGGATTTGAACCTTGCCCTGGAAGTTTTATAATGAGAACCCAGCCTCTGACACAATCTCAGAGCAGTGTCTCGCTGCAAATTATATTTGTATCACACTTATCCTCTCTTTTACCATCAATGTACCATCTTTTTCCCTCTGTAACCCAGAGGGAAGGCAAAGAAGTACTGTTTCATTATTACCCTTTAATAGTCTTTCCAGTGATATAAAGGAGAATATTAATATCCTTCCAATGACCTCACCTAAACACTGCTAAAAGCCAGGAGGGAAGTGACAAGTTTGCAGCTAAAGCACAGAGATGAATTTCTGAAGCTAATGAAAGGATTTCAGCCCTGGGTTTTAATCCTGTTTCTCTTTTAACCTTTTAGCTTCAGTTTCCTCAGCTGTAGCACGGAGCAAGTAGACTCACATGCAAGTCAGCAGCACAATTTTGTTTTTTGATACAGTTCAGTCAGGAGCTGGCTGTGCTGTCAAAGCACAGAGGTAAAGAAGGTGTGTTCTGACAAGGAAAAGTGAATATTGTCTTCTTGCAGGTGTGAGGTAACCACTCCCTTCCTACAGCTCTGCCTGGGGAAGCAGCGTTGCTCTGCAGAACTTGCTGAGGTGGGTGAAGGCAGGTTGGAGGGCTGCAGTGATCCTGCCTGGGAGGTGCAGACTGCACAGGATGAGAGGATGGCTGGGTATGGACCAGGGCCAGGAGAAGGAGGCCACCCATCTGCTCCCAGGCTGCTGTTGCTGCTGGGGAGGGCACCCAGAGCAGACACAGCAGCTTTGAGCTGGCAGAGGAGAACACCTGCCCTGGGCACAGACGGGCACTGCCCCTCCTCGCCTGGCAGTGGGCATGGGCCTCGTCCATCAGATTATCAATACATCAAACAGCACATCAACAGCTGCTGCTCTTAAGAAAGCTCAATTAACAGCGAAAAAGTACTTAAAAATGGCCAGCAAAGGAAATGAAACCATAACTCAGTTCTACACACGGCTTCTTCTTGATCTGTACAAAAGTCAGGGGGAAATGGTGGTGATTAATTATCTCACTTGTTCTTTACATTAAAAATACACATTTTGACCACTACAGAAAAGCTGGGGGATGCATGAAGTTCTGACATCATAAAAGAGAAAGGAGGGAAGTTGATAATTCTGAAGGAAAAGTCATGATTAGTCAGATTGTGAAACAGGATTGGGGCTTGTTGGTGCTTACTAATACTTTCATACAGCTGGAGATGAGCAACCTGGTTCAAGACTCTACAGCTCATCTTCTTTAAGATGTCTGTGCTTGTGGTCTTTGAGATGGTAACCACAATTTCTGAGGTATAGGGAGGCTCCTTTATCAAAATGCAGAGAAGATCAAATATTAAAAAGTGATAAAATAACTAATTGTCTAATTGCCATGTAGGATAAAAAAAAAGAACATCTCCTATCTCATGAAAGCTTCTGCTGACTGTAAAGGCTGCTCCACAGGCTGTCGATGCAGGATTAAGACTCACGTTTTCTCAAATGCAGTATTTAATTTCAAAGGAGACAGGAAAAAAAAAATCTAGATTTTTAAATACCATCTCTGTATTTTTTGTACTAAACTTACTGTTTTGATTGAATTTTAGAAGTACCATAAGAAGAGCTCAGAGCTTGGCCCACATCCAAATGTTAATGTTTAATCTTCCAAATCCCTTTTTAAAATCTGGTAATAACCCAGTTTCATTTCTTACATTTGTTGCTTCTGGTTCCATATTAGGAATATGGAAAGAATTGATCAAATCAAGGAAATGCCAATCTTCAAACATGCTTGGCTTTTAAATTAGCACTCAAAGTGAGGAATCTACCTGACTTGTAGGATGATGAATAGTTCCAAGAACAACTGAACAGCTAAAAGAGTAGGTTTGAGTTTGGTGATAAAGCTGTAGATTTCCTTTCCACCTGGGAAATAACTGTAATATTTTTAAAGATCTATCTATCTAAATCTGTGGAAAAATCTGTTTGCAAAAAATACCTTTAGAGGAATTTCAAAGAATTTCATATACTCATTTTTTATGTTGATACATGTTTCTTTAATGAAACTAAGAGTTTGTGCTGCCAGGATTTAAGGAAACCAATTCAATCTGTGATACAAGCCCTTGATCCTGCAAATATTTAAGCTGCTGAGGAATGTTACTAATTTCAACAGTCTCATTAAGCACTATGTAGCATGTTTCCAATGTGTTTCAAACATGGTTATACCACAGGACTTTATACTTTATACTCTACTTTTTTATACTTTAGGACTTGTTTGTGTACTGGTGATTCATGACAGAAGTTCTTAATGCATTTCTAGAGCAGAACTCTCTCTTTACCATATTACAGCCAAAAACTGTGATAAGGACTGGTATCCCTCAAGTGGTGGTAAATGTCATTCTCCCACTGAAATTCTACACCTGTACCTCACATTCTGCAGAAAAAGATTAACAAAAGGATCTGTCTTCAAAAAAAATCCAGCAAAAACCAAACAGAAATGAGACCACAAATTTCCTTTAATTCCCCCCTCATAAATAGAACTGGAGGGAGTATATTAATAATTACAATTTAATTTAAAATGTCCCTTGAGCTTACAGTGAGTGGAACCAAAACTGTGACTCTGCAGCACATAAACATCCTGCTGAGGAGGACAGCTTGAAGGCTGGCCTCTGCTTACAGATCCTTTATCTATTCCAAAAGAAACCAGTAGCAACTCTGTAGAAACCAGTGACCTTTGCTTTGGTATGAGAGAGAAAAGAATCTGGCTAGTTTGATCAAGTGGCTTCCTGTCACTTCACTACCAGTCTTTGGGGGTAGAAGCTGCCTCTACCCACAACACTGTGTTGACCTCTCAGCTCAATATTTATAGGCTCTCTATCAGGATCAGGGAAAAGAGGGAGGAGGCACTTGAAAAAGGCTACTTTGAAGGGAAGTCTGTAATTGTCTTTAAATAGTCACTGAACTTGGGGGTAGGTATTCAGTACTAAAGGTCATCTGAAGTGTTGATTTTTCTTGTATTTTGTCTTGGAGACCTTGAACCTGAGACCTCACCATATTTTTTGCACAATTTTTATACATTACTGGTTCATATCACACCATATAGATGATGAACTTTAGATAATTACAGAAATATTAATTTGCTCAATAGTTTGTTCTTATTGGACAATATTATGCTTCTATCTCTAGAAACATTCCCAATGAAGACCTTGAGTTCTGAGGATATTTACAGAGAGGAAGTTTGGAGATCAACCATGAATCCCAAGGCAGAGGAGAAGAGGAAGCAGCGCCATAGCTTGACTTTATTGGAGCAAGTAAAGCGAATGAAGGAATCAACACAGATAATCGATGTGGTGCTGGTTGCAGAAGGTGAGAAATTCCCCTGCCATAAGGTGGTGCTGGCTGCCTTCAGTGCCTATTTCAAAGCCATGTTCACGTGTGGCTTGGCAGAGTGCGTGCAGAGGGAAGTGGTGCTGCACGACGTCTCTGCCGAGAGCGTGTCGGTGATCCTGCACTACATGTACAGCGCGGAGCTGCGCCTCACCAACCACAACGTGCAGACTGTCGCCCTCGCTGCCTACTTCATGCAGATGGAAGAGGTTTGCAGTGCGTGTCAGAAGTACATGATGGACCATATGGATGCTTCCAACTGCTTGGGCATCTACTATTTCGCAAACCACATTGGGGCAGAAGACTTATGTGACCAAGCGAGGAAATACGTGTATCAGCATTTTGCTGAGGTGAGCTTGCAGGAAGAAATACTAGAGATCGAATTCCAGCAGCTGATGAATCTGATCAAATCAGATGATCTGAATATTTCCAGGGAGGAGAGCATTCTGGACCTCGTCATTAGATGGGTCAAGCACAGCAGAGAGTCACGTTTAGAACATCTGGTTGAGCTCCTCAAGCAAGTGCGACTGGTACTCGTCAGCCCCTCTTTTCTTGTGGAAGCCCGGAAAAGGAACACAATTATTCTGTGCAATTCAGAATGCAATGATATGTTTGAGGAAGCACTGAAAACCATCCAGCTCTCCAGCCACCCTTCCCTCAGCCTGCGATACGGCATGGAGACTACGGACCTCCTGCTCTGCATTGGCAACAACTCCCAAGGCATCAGGTCCAGGCACGGCAGCTATGCAGATGCCAGCTTTTGTTACGCACCTGCCACACGAAAGACTTACTTCATTTCCTCCCCAAAGTATGGAGAGGGCTTAGGATGTGTTTGCACTGGTGTTGTTACTGAGAAAAATGATATCATTGTGGCAGGCGAGGCAAGCGCCGTCAAAATGTCTAGACAAAGGACCAGGAACATTGAAATTTATAGGTGTGTACCCTCTGTCAGAAATCCCCAAATTATTTAAAAATTTAAATCTAAATAATGTCCCTGGGGACAAAAAAGAAAAAAAGACCATTATACAAAGCATTTTTTACGGGATTTTTTTTTCTTAGAGATTTTGAATATTTTAATCAATTTGTCACTACTTATTTTCTTAGCTCTGAGTTATATACATAGAACCAAATCTTGATGCCTCTTCTCCTGAAAGAATGAGGAGTTACTCTTGTGGTATCTCTGAGCAAATGAGTTCAATTAGATCAATGCATGTAGATTTTATATTCTCCTTACCCAAATCTTAGTATTTTCCTTGGATATCTCTTTTCTAGGTCATTAGCAGGGGGAAATGAGCCAAGTGAACAATTCAATGAGCACAGTAACACAGAGAAAACATGCTTCTCTGTTGATGCTGGTGAGAGTTGCTTCATAGATTAAAGATAATGATTGATAGCTCAAAAACCTCATTCTGTTTTTACTCATATCTTTTTCAGATGCACACATTTTAAAGAAAACCAGACATTTCCTGGATGAAAGATAACATTTTAAAATGGTGACAGCATTTTCAAATGCAAATGCCTAAATCTGAGGAAATAAATTCATAGTGAGGCAGGTGAAGTGGCTTTCTTTTCAGCAGTATGGAGCTCTTATTTCAGCAGAAACTGTGATCGAGCAGCACATGCATAAATAAGTGACTTCTTACCTTAATTAGGGTCAAATATCTTTGAAAGGACACCTAGGATTCCTCATACTAAAAATGCTTGATCTTGCAAGAATTTGGCTTGATTTTATAACTTCTCTGTGAAGGAGAGAGCTCCTCTGGTCACTGTACTGGGTAAACACTGACAATTAAAGGGGGTAACATCTCCAAACAGGCTGATGGGACCTGGGTGAACCAGGGCATTGACAACTCTGGATTTTCCTACAGGTACCACCAGCGAGGAAACCACTTTTGGCACAGTCTGTGCACCACAAAGCTTCGTGAGCTCTACGCACTGGGCACTGCCCACAACGACCTCTATGTAATAGGAGGGCAAATGAAAGTGAAAAACCAGTACCTGGTCACAAACTGTGTGGAGAAGTATTCCATGGAGCAAGGCACCTGGAGAAGCACGGCCCCTCTGCCAGTTCCATTGGCCTGCCACATGGTGGTGACAGTGAAGGACAAGCTGTACGTGCTAGGAGGATGGACACCACAGGTTGAGAGCTGTGCCCCTGTACTCGGCTTGTTTTGTGCACTAACAAGAGCTGTTGTGTCCTTCTGCAGTGCTTCTTGCATGGGAAGATACATCAGTGATAGCAGGAGAATGAGTTGCTCACATTCCTATGATTAAACATGGTCTGTAGGAAAATCCTAACAGGGTGAAGAAGAATAATATCCATCTATGCCATCCTCACTGTAAATACCAGCTTCAGGAAGGGCAGTTTTTATCCACAGAGATATGTACAGGCAAGAGTTTAAAATACATTTCCTTTGTTATAGGTTCCATCCTTCCTAGTCCTTATTTACCATCCTCTTAATTTTTCTAGATATGATAAAAAATGGCATTTAATCATACAAGGGACCCTTAACCGTGCCCTGTTTTTAAAAAGCATGTACACAGGTACACTTCAGGGACAGATTTATTTATGACATTTAAAGTTCACCTCAATTTCTCAGGAAGGTTTCTTGGTTAACTAAAGTTAATTTATTTTATTTTCATTGCATTGCATTTTAAATGAAAAGTCAAAGCATTCTCTGGGAAACAGAGTCCTTTAACAAATCTGTTTATTTATTTCTGTTGCATTGCTTGGCTATGTAAAGTTTTTACAGGGATTTTCAGCAGGGCCATGGATACATGTTCAGTAGTAGAGAGATTATACTGGGCTATGTTACAAGGAAGATGGATGTCAAGGGCTGTGCTCATTCTCTCCAGTTGCTCCCAGTGCAAAATATCTTTTTTTAAGAGTCTAGCCCACTTTTATTTATTGCTTTGTGAATTTTAAGTCTGAGTGCTCAGGGAAAAGCCCCACATTCACTTCACAATGAAGTGGAGCATCTGTAACCCTTGTTGCAACATGTTCAGACTGTCATCACAACTCAATGGTTTCTGTCCTCTTGAAATAAATTATTGTTTAAAGTATTTAAAAGTGAGATGCATTCAGCTAACAAGACCTCCACCTCTCTGAATATTTTGAGTGCAGGAGTCCCCAGGGAGGCAACAGAAAGATCAGAGAGTATTTCTGATACAGAAACAACTGTGCAAGGGTATGTCTTATGCAAAGAACTAAAATATGAAAACACTTAATGTAGAAACAATGTCTGCAAAAAAAAACTTGAACTGAAAGATATGTCATATAGCAAAGATAGATGTTGAAGGCAGACAACCAGCTTTGTTAAGTTTTTTTTAGAACAGATTGTGAGAGGGAAAAGTGGTTTAGAAGCACAAGTCAGGAATATTGAGCCAAGAATAATTTTTTTAAACCCACCTAAAGTGGGTACCTGCCTACCAGTACTATCAGTAACAGTGCATGGGTGTCTGAGTTTATACAGAAATAAGTTTGAGATGAGCAGATTAACAGCAATTGATCAAAACCCACAGCTTTGTAAGATTATGGCGTACCTGCACAGACCGGAATAAATTAGCTAAAGCTCTCAAAAAAGTGCTTTAAGACCAGCACTAGAGAGTGCTGAATTCTTCTGGTACCATCTATCCTCTCCCTGACAGATGCAGTGATTGTATATGTGGGGTTACCACAGCTGCACTGGGAAAGCAAAAGAGCTGGCCAAGCCAGGGGCTGTCCCTGTGCTGGAGCAGCACTGAATGTTCTGTCAATCCTGAACAAACACTAACAACAGCATTAACAGAGTGCCCTAAATGCATGTGTCCATTACAGGACAGAGATAAATACATGTTCCCTTCCCATTCAGGCTTTGTAATTGAAATAAGACAAGACAAAGTCAAGCCAGGACATAAAATGACAGCTTAGGAGGGCAAGGACTCGCTCACAACAGCGCTGCTCTACTCAGCATTGGTCTGACCCCTGATGCCAGTGCAGTTAAAAGCCAAAGGGACTCCAGCCTTGGTAACTGGGGACTACTAAAATGGAAGAAAGTGTTTGGTGAGGCTGAGAGGAAGTTTTCAGATCTTCAGAGAAGGGCTGCTGGAAGTTATGTTTTCTGTACACAGACAGAACAGGGTGCACTCCAAAAAATGAGGTTGCATGTGAATTTGCAGCATGTCAAGTGGTGTCTTCTCCTAAGTACATGTTTAGTCTGTGCTGAAAATACACAGCTTCCAAATACCCCTCTTTCAGTGAATAAATTAGTGTTTCACACTTACCATGGAGAAAGAACATGCCCCGGGCACTTACAGGGAATAACCAAGGGGCTTTATATTTACTCTCTAGTTTGCCTCCTATCTTGTCCATGACATTAGTGTTGGAAAGGTCTTTTGGAAAAAAAAATACCAAGAAAACAAGGACACGTGTAACACCATCACAAGCAAGCAAAGCATTTCTCTCCTTCTCACTCTCTCTATGTGAAAACTTTCATCCCAAAATATTTCAGAATCCTCCCTCCACATCCTACTGCTAACATTCAAGGGTGTTGTACCCAGAAAACAGGATCTGAATTCCCTGCATTGTATAAGACAGGCAGAGAAGGGGGAAGAAGATTAGAGAGAACAAGAGGAGTGGGAGTGAGTATAAAAAGTGTTATGGCAGCAAAGATATAGCAAGGGGATTAGGAGCTTATAATGAAAACTATTGAAGGTACAGTTGTTGAACAACATCACTGCAGATGGGCTGACTAAACAAACATGCACATGTTTATTAGGATAAGATAGATAAATATATATGTATATATATATATGACTGAGAAAGGCTGGCAAAGTACCTGATTGAGACTCATGGTATAGTCTGAGTAATAGTGGAAAGAGATTTCAACATTTAGCAGGAAAAAAACAACAGACTTGTTTTCCCTCATTTTTATTAGGACTGTAGAGCAGCCTAACAATAATATAATAACCTGTACAGTGGAAGGGGGTATGTTCTTCCAGAGCTGGGAACCTTAACCCTGAATGTACTGTTAGTACCAAATCCTTGGCTTTATTCCTGCAGGATATAGATAGCCTCTTATTCCTTTGCCTTCACCAGCAGGCTCCCAGCCACCAGCCATGGGTGCTGCTAAACCCTGGGGAGTACAATCCCCTGCAGCTGTAATCGATGTGTTTATGCTATTTATCTGCCGAGCTGTCTGCTGTGATTAATTGCCTGCAGGCATGTGTGGAGGGCTCCAAATGTTGTATTATTATATGGCTGTCATATTTCATACAGATGGATCTGCCTGACGAGGAGCCGGATCGATTAAGTAACAGAACGTTTCAGTACGACCCGGGCCAAGACAAATGGGTGGAAAAAGCTCCAATGAAGTTCTCCAAGTACCGCTTCAGCACAGCCGTAGTCAACGGGGAGATTTATGTCTTGGGTAAGAGGAAACAGATTTTTAACAGATAGCACCATGACTTTTTCTTCTTCCCAGCAATTTGCCTTTGTGAAGTGAAATATCTCACCCTTTGTTACGTACCGTAGGACAAAGTACCTCGTACTAAATGGAGAGTATTTTTCTAAAGTTATTTGTTCCCCACATGATTTCTTCCTTCTGTAATTTATGTAGATTAAATTATGTGAATGTGCAGTGTTCTGGATTTGAGAAACAAAGATACTTCACTTTTTCAGACATTTTCCTTTGGGGTATCTGTGTGTGCCATAAATAACAATGAATTTTAAAAAGTGAGTAGACAAGCCTTGAAGCACCACTTCACAGGTGAGCAATGAAATGCTAAAGATTATATGCAGCATCATGAAGGAAAGGCATAAGGTCAAAGAAAATTTTGATTTCCCAAAACCAACATCATGAGTGATAAAACTCAGTGAATTCTTCTCTTTACCTACCTCAACACAGCATGCTTTTTTTTAAAAAAAAATCTAAATATTTCCTTTTTTCTAATTTTGATTGAATCCTTTCTGGTTTTGCGAAACAGTACTTTGACCAAATCAGTTCATTAATCTCCTACCTACCCCAAAATGTTTTGTCCCTTAGTGTGGATAAATATATGGCTGGAAAATTCTTGGAGAAGCAGGGAAAAAAGTTCATCCAGACAATCTACAGGTGGGCTGTGAGTGATTCATGCCCTTCCATGCTCCCATGGTCTCATGGGCAGGCTTAGGCATGAAGAAAGCAGAAATTCTATCAGGACCATAGGACATTTCAATCCCTTCTGCTTCAAACTGTCCCTGCTTACAAGCTTATCAAAGTGAACACAAAAATACAGTGTTGTCAGCTTAATACACCTCCTGTATCAGGGTGCTCTGGCTTTGTCTGGGTTTCATAGCAGGGATAAAGCAGAGTTTGTTCCTGGCTCATAAAACAGAAGGTGCTTTCCGGGGGGGGATATGCAGGGAAGGTGTCTTTGAAGCAGAAGAGTCAAGTGGCTTTAATGCTGCATTTGTCTTCTTTTAGAGAAACTTCTTTCTCTTAAGTGGTTTGAGAGAGGCCCATAGGTACAGCCAGGAGGAGGGGTGAAAGAAGCCCATATGGAAAAGTGAGTTTTGCAAACAGAAAGTCATGTCACTCTTGTCAAAGGTTAGTGACAGAGAATGTCGGTGTGCTGTTAGATAATGAGAGTGTTGGCTGCCCAGGTTCAAAGGTGCTTTGAAAATGTGGAGAGTTCGTGCTCTGTAAAAGGTTAAATACATATAATTATTTATACTGGCACTGATGCTCTAATGGGGCAGCAGAAGCAGCTGGAATAGCTGGGAAGAGAAGAGCAGCATTCATGCGTTTCAGTAAGAAGTGCTCCGAGATCAAGACCTCGAAGGCTGTGATGACACAGGGAGTCAGGGAGCAAGAAAAAGCAGCCACCTTGGGATGCATGTGATGAAACAAATTGTCAGTCTTCTTCACAGCAAGCCTGACACTGGCACAAGGAAAAAGAGTGGCAGCTAATGGGGAAAACAGCTTCCATTTTCTTCCCTCAAAACCTCACAAAGCAAGAAGCACATGTGAGCGATTCCAGTAATGAAATATACAGATTGAACACAAAACACAGCCTTAAATCTGAAAAATGCCTGTTTAAATGGCATGAGGAAAGCTCATGGTCTCGTGGACCTTCAGAAGCATTTTGCTAATTAAAAAAATAAAAAGCCTTGGTTTTGTATGTGTAGCAGCCAGTGCTGCAGTATTCAGGGAGCTGAACACTAACTTGAATTCTTTCTTATCTGCTGGCCAATACCAAAAATTCTCTGTGTATGGGAGAAAAAATCTTTGCTATAATCTGATCTGCACATATGTGGTAACAGGGTTTTGCTCTGTCTCCATCATTCTGCTGCTTCACACACCTTCCCATGGCAGTCTATATTTGAGCTTATTCCTAAGAGAACCACTGCACTTTACAGTTTGCTGCATTGGACCCTTCACTCTTGCCACTAAGTCTAACTAAACATTCATAAAGGCAGTGTTTGTTCTCAGTTTTAACAGGATAAATCTGCCTTCTGATGCTCTGCCCACTCAAGGTGTAACTGCAGCAAGTGCAGACACAGCTGAGTTACCATCAGGTAGCAGGAATATCAGTTGCAGAGAAGACATTTTGACCTAGGTCTGGGCTGCTTTCACAAACTCCTCATTGCCAATTTTCACAAACCTTGTAAGGATTTTAACATCTATAAATCTGAAAAATTTAGTTGAAACTGGCCAACAGGCACGAAAGCTATGCAGGGTAGAGAAAATGATGTACATGTAGATAGAGAACACACATATAGTTAGAGGAATTGCATAAATCTTGTTTTCTTGGGAAGTCAAATAATATTACAGCTAATTTTTTAATTGAAAGACAAGTCTGAGCCAAAAATGATTGGTCAACAAATTCTGCTTTTGAATATGCTGGTTTAAATCCACCTGCAAGAGTACAAGGTAGAAACAGAGATTTATCTGTTAAAATTAAGAAGACAACATGGTTGTTAAATGTGAACCATCACAGTCATGATCGTGAAAACTCTGTGGAGAGATTAAAGCATTTTCCAAGACCTCTCAAAGCAAAGAAGCAATTTCCAAATGGGCTCTGGCTGGAAACAGCGATACAGGCATGATATTGGCATCTTACTCCACAGGCACCACACGTGGCCTCATCTCCAGCTGTAAACTCACAGTCGCCAACTGGAATTAAACCTCACAAAGAAAAGCCATGTTCCATTTTATCTGTGGTGACAGGTTCTTGTCACCTTGTGTGAGGTGGGCCCAGCTCCCCTTTGGACACAATGGCATTGGTAACCCCAGCTGAGGGAATGGGAAATTCATGGCATTGAGAGGAAGGCAGTGAAAGAGTTCCTAATCTGGCTGATGTGCTACTTGATCACGCAGATGATGTTCAGGAGAGAATGGGAATGGAAAGAATAGAGGTTGATAGTGACAGAGCAAAGAATAGCAGCTGTCATGAGGGTGGTAAAACCACTGCAGGCTCCCCAAAGCTGTGGATCCCTTGGACATCACCCTGCTTCATAAGGAGTGTCAGGCACTCTGGGAGTTTAGGAAGACACTGTCAAGGGTGATTTGTGCAAAAAAGACACATTCTGAAGAGGATCACAGGTTGTTCTCATGTAGTGGCCTCAGAGACAGCTCAGGCATAATGACCAAGCCTTTGTGCTATAGATGAGAGGGACTTTCATTGAGTCTCTGCTATTGCTATTGATACCCTTCCCAATCCTAATGGGAATTTCTCATGGTGAAGTGTGTGTGCTCAGAACCTGGACATCTATCGGGCTCCTGTGCAGCCCCAGTCAGGGGACACTCAGTAAAGGGCTGTTCAGAAGCATGGAATGGCACTGCTTGGATTCCCAGAGGTATCCCCCACTTCTCCTACCATTCTTGCTCCTTTTGGGGTGCATCATCTCCACAGCACCCTGCAGTCTGCAGCCAGCTAAGGAGATCCACTGGAACCTGATGGAGGCAGAGGAAGGAAAGGAAGGGAGGCAAGGTGGAAACAGGTAAATGCAAGATATCTTCTGTATGCCTGGAGGACCACACCCTGCTTCCCAGGAATAAATACATGAAATAGATAGTTCTAGCTGGGCACATAGAGATGCAGAGAGATAAGATTTTTTTCAAGTAAGTCTTGAAAACAAAGTCCTTAAATGAGGTAAGGATGTCAGCTCTTTCCAGTAGTATCCCTTACACAGGTGTTAGCAGATTGAGGGACTCTAGAGCATAGATGAAAAATGCCGAGGAAGTTGATCCTCTCTAATGTCTGTGCTGTATAAATGCAATTTCTATCATAAATAAGAAGCAGAAAGAATTGATGGAATACTAGAGTTGAATGAGGTGAAGTACAGATTCTTTGATAAGTAAGTCTAATTTTTGTTCTCATCCATGTAGGTGTAAATCTCTAGTAAGTAGTCTGCTGATGGCAGTTGTGCTGTGTCAAGATCAAGGGATCACTTTATTCTCACCCAGGTCAGAATCTGATGCTTAGCCTTTGAAGTGTTAATTTCTGAAAAGTCCTATTGGCACAGCACAGAGTATGTAGCCACTGTCCAAAAACCCTTCCCAGACTAATTGCCAGCTCCAGCATGTAAAACCCTAATGACTTAAATGGAATTATTCTGGAGTCACGCTGATGGAAGGAAAATGAGAAATAGATCAGAGTTTTTGGTCTGAGTATTGTTCAAGAACCTGTACCGTGTGTCTTAATCATCAATCCTGCAACATAATTGTCTGTTTGTTGTCTAATGTTCCTAGAGAATCTCATGCTATTTATACACCATACATAATCCTCATAAGTAAATGAACAGCATTTCCTAAGGCTCAAAATCCTTTCTCCTATTCATCTCTTTTCACTGGTCTCAGCTCTTTCTCTCCATATTTTCCCAGGAACATAACTATATTCGTTGGAAAGCCCAAGAAAGGGCAGTATTGTGCTCTTAATGACAGAGGCAATTGAGACACTTTTGGAAGAAAACCAGATGGGAGGGCTCTATTTAAGGTCACGCATTTTAATCTCTCACTTAAAAAAATATCCTTTCAAGCTACTTCTCTGAAAACTTATCACAGCCAACATACAAATTAGGAAAATTTATCCAAATGAATCTATTTGAATGCCATATTCATTACTTGTGTTAAACCACACTCAGTAGAACTAGTGTCTCTGAAATACAGGTCACTGGTAAAAAAAAGTTGCATCACTATGACAGCTTTAGCCATGTGTTGCTTTTATGCTGTATAATTCCTGCTTTATAAATAATAATGTATTGAAGGACTTAAATGAGAAATCCTATTAGGGAAGATTTAGAAACCAAAGAATTTTTGTTTATCCTCCTCAGACTGGCATCCTACCTCTTACAACGTGGGGTTTTTCCCCCCGAGGTTCTTGCTGAAAGCTTCTTTTAAAGTTTTAAACAGTTAAATGAGGTTCAATTAAATACTGAATGTCTTGA